CCGCTGGCGCAGGGTAGCAGGAAGCTCTCCACACACTCACCGGAGCTGGGCTAGGACTGGGCCTATCTAAATATATTTAGATATGTCTATATATGTGTATATATCCATTGAATTTGGAAAGCTTTAGGGAAAAAGTCAAAGCTAATTTCACATTCTAATACTTAATGAGTAGAAATAATGTTTCTGTAGATCTATAGGTATAACTATAGATACACATGTGTATCTATACAGTTATATATGGATTACATGTAGAGGGAGTATACTTACATGGGAGAGCTATATTTCTCAATTAGTTTTTTCTCTCTTCAGTGTATCTATAGTTTTTGGCCTCTACCTACTCTATGCAAGGTACCACAGAAACAAAAACTAAAAATAGTTGATTTTGGTACTAGGTTGGCCTATTGTCTTTCCAGGTATTGTATCTCTGCATTGGCATGGGGGTGAGAGGTTGGAACAAAGGTTCTCTGCTGTTTAATTATAAAATGCTATGGCTTGATGCATTTTGGAATATAGATTCATTTATTTATTTTTATTTGTTTATTTATTTTTTGCGGAACTGGGGATTGAACTCAGATCTCTGTGTTTGCCAGTCAAGTGCTTATCCTACTGAGCCATCTCCCCAGCCCTGGAATGCAGATTTTTTTTGTGGTGGAACCAGGGATTGAACTCAGGCCTTTGTGCTTGCCAGGCAAGCGCTTATTCTACTGAGCTCTGTCCCTCGCCCCTGGAATACAGATTTAAAACAAAAATTTTAAGGTGATAAGGGACATGTTCATCATTATGCATGTTCACATAGGTTTGCCATGGAAATTGCCTTTAACATGATAGAATATGAACATTCACACTGAGTGTGGAACAAGTAAGACTTACCAATGTCCAGTGAAACATTCAGACTTTTAGATTTGGAATTAAAATTATGAGCTAAAGTGGCTTAAATACTGAAATAAAAGAAATTAATCATGTGTTGCATACATGAAAAGAAAACTTTTTTTGGGGTGATGCTAAAAAAATGGGATTTCATTTGAAGGGTTAGGTGGAACTGTATTTTACTCCTTACTCACTCTTGGGAAGTTGGAATTGCATATCGCAGGTATTTGGTGAGTGAATATATGTGGTAGATGAGAGTAAATTTACGAAAATATAATCATGAAGAGAATGTGAACTTGGTTGAGAGAGATAATTGTCTGCTATAAGGTGAATATTCTGGAAAGAGTAGTAGATGAGTTGGGGACCATTGTTAGTACTCCTGTATTTTAGCCTGATATGTGCTTGTTGAGCTGAGGAAAGCAGCCTGATCTGACTTGTCTAGTACTTTTAGAATGGGCTTGTGGAGGAGCACAGATAGTGAAACTGATATGAACAAGAAAAAGATAGGAAGAAAATAGAAGATGTTATTGAAGATGGATTATGGTTGTGTGTTTCTTGGGTAGGGACTTCTTGTGTGAACATGAAGTTCAAGGCTGCATTGAGGAGGTAGAGATTGGTCTATAGATTTTAAAGAAAGAGTGGACACTGACCCCCTTCAATCTGGAAAGTGACAGGGAAAAAGGCAAAGCTAATTTCACTAGAAATAATGATTGTTTGACTGAAAGAGGGATGTTTAGAAAAGCTGGAAAGGGATGCTAAGCCCACTGCTATGACTTGGTATATTGGTGGGTTTATGGTCTTCCCTGTAATTGCTATTTTTTGTTGTAGTTTCAGGTTTTGCAGGGGAAACATTACAGAACATATAACTTAATAGAGTTATTTTCTAATAGGTACCTGAGGAATCATATATAGAGAGAGTAAAGGAAATCTTTTCATATAATACAGACCAAAAGAATCCAGCTGAAGGCCTGGATCCCATCGCAGTGTTCTGCATGAGTCCAGCTAAAGACCGAGAGCCCATAACCATGCCCCTTATAAATCCAATGGGAGGCCTAGAGCCCATGATAGTGTTTCATGCAGGCCCATTTTACATAAGAACCAGAGCCCCCTAAAAGGTACTATAGCCATCCTCAGCATTAGTGAGTCCTGAGCTCCTTCAATGAGGAGAACAGCCAAGTTTATCAGGAAAAACAGCATGGCATTCTCCTCCAAGCGAACCACCAGTTCCCTTACAGCCTCCCTAACAGCTTCCAACAGCTTCTTTTCTTTATTTCCAGTTCTGTTTCTTATGCTGCTGGCAACAGTCCTCAGGTAGGCCTACCACACCTAGTATAATGCTAGGTCAGTTCGGCTGGGTGTTATTAGTTGACCACCAGTTGTCGATCCACCACATTTTTGTATGAACATATGTGTTCCTAGATACGATATATGTTCCAATTCTTATTTTGTAGTCTACAGTCTTTAAGAACAATATAATAAGAAACAAAAGTCCTACAGGACTTAAATTATTTTACATGCCATTTCCAAGCAGCCTTTACAGGAAATTTACTTGAATTTCATTAAAAAAGAAATACTATGTTGAACAGCTTTAATTTCACCTTGCATCTTTTACTGTGCATTAGCAATTAACTTTACTTCTTTCAGGTTGATGAATTTGAACTTGATCAATTATCTGATAATAATCACCAGCATAGAGTGATTATTATTACTGAGGTAACGTTCTTCTTTCATTGCTTTGTATACTTCAGACACTTTCATAGAGGCACACATTTGACTGCAGCATATGAATTGCTCTTTTGGCTTCTGACACTGAGGTCAAACTTGTTAAATAGAGTTGTATTGAACAAATCCTCTGGTGCTTTCAACGAAGTGGATATGCTCTCTGTCTCCTGGAAGAGGCTCAGTCTTTCTCTTGTTGTTGGCTTGAGAGTTCTGTATTTGTTTTTTTTTGCAATTTACTTGTCTACTTTCCAACTGCTGCCAGGGCTGTGCTACACCATTCTCCTCATGGGGCTTACGCGTGTCTCCTGAGAAGGCCCTGCTGGTGGTGGGGCTGACAGCAAACTATGCTAGGAGCTGTGGCTGTGGGTCAGAGGAATTTGGGAGCGTGGTGATTCATCTTTCTAAACAGACTCAATGCTGCCCAGGGTCTGGCCTTCGCTGTCCTGCTCTGAGCTCAAGTGAGGTCATTGAAGAAGATGCATATGTTTCTAGGCTGCCTTAACAAAGTACCTGTGGGGTTCTAGAAGTTCAATATAAAGGTTTTGGCAGGGTTAATTTCTTTTGAGGCTTTTATCCTTGATTTGTGTTCTTGTGTGGTGTTCCTGTGTCCTTGTATGGTCTTCTTTCTGTCACTGCCCCTGAGTGTCCTCTTCTTTTCATGACACCAGTTGAACTTGACTAGGGAACACCCTGATGACCTTGTATTAAATTAATTATGTTCTAAAAAGACCTTAGTATGAAATACAGTCACATTAGAACTTAAACATACCAATTTTGGGAAATCAGAATTTGGCCCATATCCAAAGGAAAAACAGAACATTTGAGAAGCTTAAAAGATGAATAAAGATGAATCAATAAAAGACAAAAAGGAGAAAAAGGAAATACTGATTTTAGCAAGGAGCAATGAAAGTTTGTGCATGTATTAACCATTGTAATTACCATTGTAATTTATAGAACGTGTACTGGAATCATCTTATTCCCTCCCAGCATGGCATAAGGTGTAAGGTACTTACTGCCCTTGAACTAAGAGAGGTTTCCTGAACTTGTTTTTAAGTGCAGTGAGATAGACTCAAAACATAACCCTTAAACCAGTCCTGGTGAACCTCAGCAGGCTGTTTGTATCATTGGAATCACCCTCACTGTCTTTGACTTGGTCACATATTTTCTTACTCCAGAGAAAGAGGTAAAATGAGTCTTAAACCCCTGTGTAAGTTCCATGGTCTTTTTGTTGTGGAAAGTTTGGAGATGGGAGTTTTCAGCTTGCATTGTTATTTAACATTGGTAGTGCAGAAATTTATGCTGGGCTAAAGAGAGGATGTAGAGGGGAGTGGAAGAAAGGAAGTGGATAGGCATTTTGAAGTATAAACCAGTAGAGAGATTGATTGACTGAGCTCCCATATTCATATCACCTGGATTCAACAGTTTTGGAGCTTTGGCCATGTTTGTTTCACTCATCCCTTTCTACTCCTCAAAGCAAATCTAAGATATGTTACTTCCACCTGTTTCAGAATATACCCTTAAAAGGACATATTTATTGCATTAAGATTAATGTCCTTTAGAGTTTTGCTGTTGCTTCAAAAATGTCATTTATAATAGGTTTGCTTTGATTAGAATACAAATAAGGGCAACTGTTCAGTATCCTAAGTTATTTCAGACAATGGCTTTTCTTGCCTCTGACTGTTGAGCTCCAGGATACCTGATGTTTAGATCTCCACACAGAGAGAAGATCCACTGAGTTGGTTTATTTTGCTGTAAACTGGGTGGTGATGCTCACTTGGGCAGGGCATATGTAATTTTTTTTCCCTTTTAAGTTCAATTATACTTTATTTTTTTACTGAATTTCCAAATCTTCAGGAATCATCCAAACAATCATTGCTTTCTGTGTACTAATTACCATATTATTTTTAAAAGGTTAAAACTTTCCAAGAAAAATGTAAACAAGTAAGCAAAAAACCCAGATATTTGAATGGATCTTTACAAATTGTATTGGGATGCATTTTTCTATGTGTTCACTTTTATTTATTTGTTATTTTAAAAATAACAAATAATACAGAAGACATTAGAAACAATACACAACTAAAAAAAAAAAGAAACCAAAAAAAAAAAAAAAAAAAACAAAACCCAACAAGATGATAGGTATCCAGGGGGCTTGCCTTTCAGTTAATGTTGATTCATTACATTCTTTTCCCTCATGGAGTATTGTTTCCTGAGCTTACTTTACAACCACAGCTCATGAATACAGAGCTGATAAAACAAGTTGGTAAACACTTGTTTTTGTCAAGTGTTATTTTTCTTTTCAACAGAAATACTGCTCATGTGAGATAGCAAAGATTCGGATGCAACTTTTTTTGATGACAACTTTTAAAACATGGTAGTCTTAAATTTTCCTAACATTGTGTGTCTCTTCCAATAGGTATAAATGACCAAGGATTGTACAGAGTTGTGGGGGTGAGTTCAAAGGTCCAGAGACTTCTGAGTATGTTGATGGGTATGCCTCTTTTCTAATTGTTTTTTCATGATTTGTTTATGTTCATTGATTTCACACCTTAAAATTTCATAGAAATGTACCTCATACTGGTGAATCCATTCCTCTGCTTAGATGAACTGTCTCCTGAGCAGAGGCAACTGACCTAGGTTAGCATTTGGGTCAGTTGAGATGATCTCCTTTGTCATTATTTATTAAGAGGTAAAGGAAAAAAGCATGAGGCTCACAGGCGGCTTCTTGGGCAGATACCTCCCACTGCTTGCTTCCCACAGCAGAGTGGCAGTCAGGCCTCTGTGATTTGCACTGCTTCCAAATTGCCTGTCCAGAATCGTGACAGTACATTTGGTTGGACAAGACCACTGGGACTCACTCATTCTTATGGAGCTTCCAAAGCTGTCATTTGACAGCAAGAGCCTGAGTCTCGGGGATTCATTGGTATGCACAGTGGCTTGCTTGTAGTTCACACCAGGCGCTTCTCCAGAACCATGCCTGCTCCATCTGTGCTGATAACACTGTGTTCTTTGGCATCGCAGACTAGAGGAAGCCAGAAAGTGAATTCATTTCATTACCCTAGACATTATGTGAATGACAAAGCACTTTTCCATTACACACTGTTGTCAGTTTTGTGCCACCTGTAAGACACACCACTCCTCCCCCGCCAAAAGCCTGCGCCTCTTGAGGAGTGATGATAGCTCATCAGGCTGGAGGCTCATCAAACTATTCTCTCATCCTGACCTTGCTCCATATTGACTTATTTGATATGTCATTTTAATTAATCAATATTAATAATGCCCTAGGGTATACAGTGAATGCTTTTAAACCTGCCTGCATCTTAAAGTGTTATAGCAAAGACTCATTTCTAGAAAGCATAAATTAAGGTGACCAGATTCTACACACACACACACACACACACACACACACATACACACACTCACTCTGTGAGCAGCACTTGCTTGTTTGGCTGTCTTTGAATTAAGGATTTCATAAGCAACAACCTTTTTTTAACTATTAACCACAGGAAAAAATTGCCTATCATCATCTGGGGAGCCTTGTTAGAATACATTCCCTTTCATGAGCTGATTTAATTTTCTTCCTCTCTGAGTTGACTTGGGTGTGCGATTCTGGCAGACATTTTCCTTTTTACCATTAGTGGGCTCCAAATTAAATAGACTTAGCTTGCCACGGGTTCAGTAGCAGCTGGAAGAGTTTAATGGAACTGCAGCATCTGTTTTTACTTAATTTTAATATTAGAAACATTTCTCTCATTTCTGATGCAGTGTTGCAATGATTAGAACTGGAAAACTATTGGTATCGGAATGGGAGATTTGGCTTGAAAGGTACATTTTGGTGATAAACTGGCTGTAAGGATCCTGGCATCAACATCATCATCATCATCATCATCATCATTATTATTATTTGTCACTTACTCACTCATGTTTCAACAAGGGTGCTTCTGCAGTCACCCTAGTGTGTTAGGTGGTTGTAAAAATCCTTAATCTCATAAAATCCTACAGGCTGGAGGTTGTCAAATGCAGGTGATAGGTTCCCTTTCTCCTGGGATGTGTCCAACACAATTCTTACCTCATGAGATGTTTTTAAATAACCCCTCCAAAAATTCATGACCTGGAAAACTGTTGTTACTTTCTGTAAGCATCAGAGTTGAGAAGTCCAGGATACAAGTGTGTCACAACCTCATTCAAGTTGCTGGCAAGAGAAAAGCTGTGTTTTCAATAATATTCTGCAAACAGAGGAAGTTTTAGGAATTGGCATGAGAGTAAGATCCTGACTTGTTATTTCCTGACTAGTTCATGTAAGAGGGCTGTACAGTATAAAATTGTTTTTATTAATCTATAAATAATCCCTAGTTTGAATTTAACATTGTGGATTAAAAAATTTTGGATTTGTAATAATGTTATTTTCTTGTTACTTTAATACCAACACAAACCTTACACCAGACAAAATAGATGCATTTAGTTTCCCAGTTGACTTAAGATTTCCTTAACATATTTCTTTTCAACTTGATTAAGTCTTCATGCATGCATTTAGTACAGAGAATACAGGGTCTACAGGATCTCACTACATAGATGAGACTGGTAGTGTTTACCTGTTTTTAGCCTCCCAAGCGCTGGGATTACTCATGTGCACTTCCATTCCCAGTCTCAATCCCCATCTCAGGGCACTCTGGGCCGGGGGCAGGGCCTACATAGAGGGTTAGCGATTAAACCCTGCCCCTGTGCTGCACTGGCTGGGCTTTAGTCAGCTGAGCTATCAGGCCAGCCCTTCAATTTGATGAAGTTTTCAAATGGAAATAATTTAATACGTCTTCTAAAAAAGTTTTAGGGTTTTGAAAATTCATGTATACGGGATCCCATAGATAGCTCCATCCTTTCTTATCTCTCTATGTTGTTTCTCTAAAGAAGAAAAATAACCCAACCCAAACAAAATGTGTGGATCTGCCAAATTTTTAGTTTTTTAACCAATCGGTGCCTCCTATTATTCCTGAAAGTAACATGTTTATTTCAAATTTGAATTTTTTCAAAGCCCATTTTGTTTGTGTTTTTCTTTATAAAAATGAAAACTAATCTGATTTTTTAAGTGAGAAAAAGTTCCAAGCGATCATATTTTTTCAAGGAGTGCTTCCTTGATTTGCTTTAGCTCTTGAGAGCTATTTACTTCAGTTTTTAAAAATGTTAACTAATTTTACATAAAATGGTTCGCATTTTCTGTGTAAAATGTTTTAAGTGTTCTTTAAATACACACATGTAAAACTTGGTGGAGTTTTCTAAAGAAGGAATATGTGCTTAAATCTTCTGCACATTCTTATTACTGTCTTCTTTTTGTAGTTTATTTTCACCTTCACATTAAAGACTAAAATAGAAAAAAATTGTTTCTCTCCATTATTCTCTTTTCTCTCAACTCCTCTTCCCTTCAGACCCTTTTTCTTCCAGTTCCTCTTCTCCCACTCCTCTCAAATTCTCCTCCCTCCCTCCCTGCTTCCATTTCCTCATCTTCTGTCTCACACCAGCATACAATAGTGATAGCCATAGGCTGGAGAAGTTTGTCTCAGTAGAGAACTAATTAAAGCTCCCTCAGGCCAGCTGAAGGAGAAGGCTGATATTTTCCTTTCTGGGTGTTGGGAGATGTTGGCCCTGAGCATTTTCTTCGTGCAATGAGCAGAAGACAACTTTCTGAAATTCCACCAGCTTAAGTTTCTGAAAACCATGAGAACAACAGCCAACAGCTCCACTGAGTGAGTTGGAGGGTATGGAATAGTTAAAGGCAGGGAGAGAGACAGGAAGGGTAAAATATCTATCTCTGAGGCAATCATGGCTTTAGTGAATGAGGCGAGAATATAAGACAGCTAACAATAGTGAATGGTAGAGGAGAAAAATTGGAGTTAGAATTATCTTAGGTGCATGTTCTTTCTTTCCCAATTTGGAATAAAGGCAGTGCAAGTGTAGAAATGAGTAATGCATGTGGTCTGGTAGATCTGGTGGTTATTTCTAAATCTTGCAAAGCTGGCCGCATGGTTTTAGATAGAACCATAGAAAATCAAGAAAAAGAATTTAAAATTTTGCTTTTAAAATATTACCATGATTACTTTGTAGGGGCAATCCAAAGTGAGCTATCATAGCTGAAAAAATTTGGAATTTTCAAAACTCATCCAATCATTGTGCTTCTTCAAGTACTTTACACCTGGATTCAAATGAGTCTGTGCCAAATATTGGAGTGTTAGCTGCTATATAAGATCACACTTTGCATTTAGATTGTGCTGCATATTCTAGTTAGGAAGAAATGATCAGTGATTAGGCAAGTGTGAAACATTCACCCAAATAAAAAGTCTAAAGCTCTTTGTTCCTATTAGTTTATCTTTTAACCAATCACAGGATTTTTTTTTTTTTTCCTCAGAAAGGAAGCAGAAATTTCCCCTCATGTATGGCAGAAGATAAAATCTAATGACCACTCTGACCAGATTTTTATGTTGAAATCCTAAACAAGTTATTAAAAAATTCTACCTAATCCCAGTGTATTCACCAATTTCTAAGGACTACTGGGGATGATCGAGTTATTTGAAAACAGTGAAAATCTAATGGAGGATTAATAATATAGAGACTGTGAAGTCATTAGCTTCTGATGTGACAGCTGTTTTTTATTCTATGGATTTAGAAGGATGGCTTATTTTTCCATGGAAGGACTACAATTCTCAAAATATAGAATGATAATTTGGTAGACAATTGGAAATAAAAGATTTCCTTTGGAAGCCTCTTAGATTATAAAATGGTGATTTGCTGGTAGCAAGTTGATTGGAAATGTTATCTGACTTGTATGTTAAAATGAGATTTAAATAATTGATTTAATGAGAGACAGAATATCAGTTACAAAAGTAATTGGTTGGCAAAGCCTTTAGAACAGAATTATTTAGTCCTAGTTATAAAGGATTGCATCTTTAATCAGGGTGCTTAATTTGATTTCTTGAATGTATCTGTGGCTTGTCTGACAAGCTCAGTAACAAATGAGTTCTGAATTGTAGGAACTGATCAAAATGTAATCAGTGTCAATTGCCATTGTTGTAGTTTATTGCATATTGCTGTCAGTTGCTGTAATCAAGAAATGTTGATTGTTTTTTTTTTTTTTTTTTTTTTTTTTTAGACTCCAGACCTTAGAATAATTTTTTCTGTATGATGTTATGGCTGTGAAGTAACCATCACTTCTTGTTTAATATTCAGAAAATTTGAGTCTAACTTTGAGTTGTTATCCATTCTTCATCCCGGCCATGTTTCAAACTTTGCAGTCAGCACAGGCGACTTCATGTGGTGGTCCCATTTTGACAGCCTTTACTTTTTAGTGCTTTTAGAAACAAAGTGCTAACAAGATGTTTTTTTTTCTTCTTTATATAGACAACTGAGTATAAGGGAGAGGGGGAAGAAAACCTAAAACTACAACTGTTGTGGTTGAGACACTGTTCAAGAGTAAGGGAGAAAATTTTTTCTGTGAATTTACTCCTTTACATGATAGGAAGGCAGAAAACTAGGAAAGTTTATATTGTTGGCTTGGTATTATTCTTTATAACTCATTTGCCACCTCCTTCCTTAGGGTAGGATCTACTAGTGCTGAAGGCTTATTATAGAACGAGACAGCTGTGGCAGTACCCTGCTGCAGTCAGCAATTCTTGAAAACATGTGTATGTTCTTGACTTCCTTTTGATTCTTGACAGTTCTGTAAGAGCATTTATATGATGTCAGTCATGGAGATGAGGATTAGAAGTTCACGCAGGTTTGGGATACCTTTGTTTGAAGCAGCCTGCTGGCCCTGGTTGGCAAAGGCATTGAAGGAATGGGTGGGATGCCCGTGCTGTGCTCCTCTATCTACCAGGGATGCTGTGTACTGGCCAGAAGCACAGGGATCAAAGAAACCACCATACTCAGGGAGGTTGTCTCTCCCAACATGCTTTCTTTTCATTTCAGTTCAAGTTGACTATCACTGTTCCTTGTCCCCCCACTCAAATTCTTGTGTACCACACACCCATACATCTTTTCTTTAAAACTTACTGTTTAAATGGTGCTTAGAAGTAGCACATCTTTAATATTTTTAGGACAAGAAAACTAGCTTAATGTAGAGTGCCTGCCAGTGTTGTTACCCAGAAGTGTCCGGTCCTGGATGAGTGTATACACAGAATTATCAGTGTGAAAGATTCCTCTTAAGTGACCATCCCCCCAGTTTAGGTGGCTTTTCTTTTAAATTTATTTTTAACTGATCCATAAAAATATAAAAATTATACATATTACTGAGGTAGTATGTTTTGCTTCATGAATACATGTATCATGTAATGTTTTAATTAGGTTAAACCATAAGTGACTTTTTAAATGTGTGTCATTTTTTTTTTAAACTTTTCTGGGCTCAAACTCATGACCTTTTACTTCCCAGGCAGGCACTAGGTTGTTGAGCTATCTCCATGGCTCATCATATTTCTCTGTTTTGGTTGCTCATGTATTATTCTACAGAAAAAATAGTATAATGGATACAAACAATGAAATGTGGGGTCAGCTTTGTTATCCTTTCCCCCACTGATCTGTTGTTCTGATAGTTGTTTTGATGTTAGTAGGTTCATTCTCTGGTTGCATTGTAATAAATAATGTTATGTGATAGCAGTAGTGCCACCAAAAGCAAATTAAACTACTCATTCACCTGAAAATGTCCCATGCCTGAGCCATAGCTACTGAGTAACACATTTAACATGATGCTATTGATTATTACATTAACCATGAATAAGTGCAGCAGTGGGATGTTGAAATGTTGTATTTCTAATTATTCTTCTAGTCCAAATGTCCACTAAATTTTGATCTCTACTGTAGTTTTTCTGAAGAGCTAGAAATGTCTAAAGGTGGAACATTGCTGTTAGTATTACAAATTGTATACATATTTTTTGTAGGGAACCGTAGGACTAATTTATTTTGAGTTTGGCTATTTAAGCATGGAAGCTTTATGAGCTTGTCAGAAGGGCCTTTGAGTGCTCCAGGTTTTAATGAATTTTTTCCTTTTTGCTTGTTCACTAGATGTAAAAACTTGCAATGAGCTAGACCTGGAGAATTCCATAGACTGGGAAGTGAAGACCATAACAAGTGCCCTGAAACAGTATTTGAGGTAAGGTCCTCTTTATTTGGACAAGTTACCTAAAACAGACTGCCTACTCTGTACATAGACAGCCGTTGTTAACTCTTACTACAAAGGAGAAAACTTATAAGGTGTCTAATAGTGTTCCACAAAGCAAGGTAAGTAGTAGATGAACATCAGTTGTCAAGTAAGTGGACAGTTGCAATAGTTCTACTGCTAATGGAAGTTTTAAAAATTCAGTGCTATGAACCAGTGATAGAGACTATTTATTGAATTCCCTGAATCTTTTATTTATATTTTAAGATGAAGATGATTTTTCAAGTTGGAACTTATTTGATTTGAACATCAGATTTGTAGTACTTAAATACAAACTACTTAGGAAGAGGTTTACTTGATAAGGTTTTTGAGGTACGTTTAAGTTGACTATTATATATGTAAACACATATGACTAGAGTTCAAAAAGCACTAATTTTAGTGAGTTATTACCCTTTCTTTGGTGTTTAGTGAAGAATAAGTAGGAAGGGTATGAAAAGAAGTGAATAAAAGACTGAAAAATCCCACTATAACTGCATGCTATATTTCTCTTGATGGCTTTTATTTTTATATGGAAAAAAAAAGTGGCTGGGCTCCACAAAGGCCAGTTATTTTAATTATACCTATAGTGTTTTTTTCATGTAAAAATTACTGGGGTTCCAGTGAGCACATTAGAATCTACTTCTGTTATTTACTTACTGTTTTAAAAAATAAGCTAAAAATTCAAATACAGAAGACAAGAGAGACTGCTATAAGGACCCCTCTATGGGCCACGGAAATAGCTCAGTAGAATAAGCGCCTGCTTGGCAAACACAGGGTCCTAAGTTCAATCTCTGGCACCATGCTCTTCTTCCATGATCAAAATCCTGCCTCTGCTTTTGGATAATACTTTAAGGATTTTCTAAGGTATATTACTATACCCATTAATCTTTGAGTGTATGTCTCAAAAAATATATGACTTCAAAAATTCAATCAGAATATAATTAAGGAAGTCAATATTTTCCAGTACTCAATTCAGTTTTTACAAATTTGTAAAAAAGTCTTTGTGTTCAGTTTATTTTTTTTTTGCGGAACCAGGGATTGAACTCGACCCTTGCTCTTGCCAGGGAAGCGCTTATTCTCCTGAGCCATCTCCCCAGCCCCATGTCTTTAGTTTAAATACCAGAGGATTTAAACAGTGTTGACATTTCACATAGTCTCTGTGTTTATTAGTTTCTTTTCATCTTTACAATTCTGCCCGTTCCCTCACCATTGGCAGCGGTCCTGGGTTTTTAACTCTACTGGTTATTGAGCCCTGGGCCTCACATGTTTTCGCTTGCTGGGCAAGTGCTCTGCCACTGAGATACTGATTCAATCCTGAAGTCATTTTTAGAAACAGTATTTTCTTGATAGAGCAGATTATATCCTCAGGGTATATTTAAAATGTGTCTCTAGCTATCCTATTTCCTGCACTTTTAAATCTGTAGACTTAAATCTGTAGTCTGTTAGATACAGGTCTTGACTGATTCATTGATTGATATCAGGAGTCCATTACAGTAGAGTTGTATTCTTGTTTTTCTTTGCTCTCAGGTGGTCTGTGTTGTCTGATTATCTTACTTTGTGATTGTATTAACATTTGTTGGTGGGTTCATTATTTCCTTTTTTTGGAATACTTTAGTCAAGTACGCTTTGGGCCACGGCATTTTTTTTTCCTCGTAAAATCATTGTGAATTATTCTTATGCTTAGTTGGTAAAGGGATAAAACTAAGGCTAAATGTATGGTCTTAACTGATAGTGACTTTGGCGTAGATGAGAATTAAGATGACTTTCATCAGTTCTGGTCAGTATCCTGTGTGTCCAATTTGTTACAGTATCCTCAGTAACTGGGCCATACCTACTGTTGCAATATTTTAGAACACTATCTCCCAAGTAGGAAAGGCTTTGCCACCTAGGGGATGTTTGACTGTGTTTGAAGGTATTTTTGATTATCACACTTGCTGGAGAGGGCACTGCTGGCACCTGATGGGTAGAAGCAAGCAGTGGGCTACTAACCATCCTGCAAGAAGTGAGAAGATAGCCTGTTCTTGTGCCTAAAGAATAGCTTAATCCAAAATGTCAGCAGTGCTGAGATTGAGAAAGGTCATGTCAGACAGAGAAAGGAAAGACTAAAGGATATATAAAAATATAGTGAGTTGGGCTGGGTGTGGTGGCACACGCTGTAATCCCAGCACTTGGGAGGCTGAGGCAGGAGGATCATTGCAAGCTCAATGCCCACCTGGTCTTCAAAGTATGCTGAAGATCAGCTGAACAGTGAGACCTTGTCTGAAAAAGATCAAAAAAATTACATATAATTTATATACATATAATATGCATATTATATATTTTATAGACATATAAATTATATATAAAATCATCTCTATCTATCTGTCTTTCTGTCTTTCTGTCTGTCTATCTCTGTGAACTTGGCTAGGAGTCAGTTCTACCTTACTATTAGATTGGTCTCAGATCCATTACACTACCTGGTAAACCCACACCTAGTACGAGTAAAGAGGTTGACCAAGATGACTCAGTTACAGGTAAGATAATAAACTAAATATCCAGTTCTTTGTAGCGAGTAGGTATTTTTTTCCCACCTTCTTCACATGATTCTTCTCTTTTCCCTTGTGGAAGGAATTAGCTTAGTAAGCTAAAGCATCATTTTATTCAGTACATGTGATTTCTTTTTGGATCTTGATATTCTCTAAAGCTGATCTCTTATTGCCCCTGGTGTTGTGTTGCTTTTTGTACCCCTTTCTCAAATGTTTCTTCATCCTATTGAATGCTGCTGAAGCAAACATTGCCTACAGAACGACATTATGAGATGCTGTTATTACATAACTTACTCCTAACAGCACACACACACTGCCTGTGAGGAAGTAATTATCATAAGATGGCAGATGCCTTGGGAGATTGGAAAGTTAGGTTGCTCTTCTCCCCTGAACTATTTTTAGCAACTGAAAATGCAGCAATTAGGATTTAATGGCACTTTTTCACTTGATGGACCAAGTGGGAGAAAACTGAGTTTTTAATCTACCTCCATGTTAGCTACATAGTTAGGGCCAAAGTAAACATATTTCTTTCAGCTGGAGAGACAGCGGAGGCATGTGATGGTCAGGACATGGAGGGAGGCAGCTGGCCCGTGGAGGCTGGGGATCCTGCCCCATGGACCATAGCACCAGGGCACAGAGCTGAAGTAAGGAGTCTCTCACTGAAAAGGGGTACTCCTGCTCCTGAGTTCTCACCGTATATCATCTGGGAACCTGGAGGGTGAGAGTGGCAATGGTCTAACCTTTGAAACATCAGACTAAAATAGGAAGCAAACTTGCAGTGTTTTGGAAAAGGGAAAGGAAAGGCAGTAGACCTACATATGGCATCTTCTTTTTTGTTATACTGACTTAAGGATTTATTTCTAGTGTTGTGAAGCCCTAAGTACCAGTTCTGAAGGATTTTTGTTACTGCAGACCATGATGGTGATTTCCCACAATGAGTTCATCACAACGGTTTCTTTCCCATTGTGAGGCAGCAGACCAGCTCTTGGGTGATGTCTCTAGTGGAATGATTTTGTCTGGAAGAATCTTCCTCAAAGCCTTGAAATTGGAATGGGAGTTTTTCCAGGGGAGGAAATGCCAGCTTAGGCAAATATTATGGTTTATGTACTCCAGCAGTTTCCAATCATGGCTAAGAGAGGTGGCCTAAAAACATGCTTGGTAGAGGCTGAGAGATGTAGCAACTCAGGATAATAATTTTTTTTTTGACAAAACCAGAGATTGAACTCAGGCCTTTGCGCTTGACAGGAAAGCACTTATTCCACTGAGCCATCTCCCTGGCCCAAGGATAATAATTTTTGCATGGGCAATTCATCATTTTTCTTATTGCTTCCTTAACATTAATGATATTTATTTCTCATGCTGCATTGCATAGTTAGACATGTGGCAACGATATAAGTAGCTCGTAGAAGATATTTTTCTAAGCATTCTTAACTTTTGGATCAGCACTGTGTAATGCTCTTTCTGTGCCATTCAGTTTCTGTCTTTCCCACTTTCTGCTTGTCCGTACTTTGAGATAAAACCTGTAACTTCTCTGTTTGGCTTTCTTTATACTGCTTTTAGACTATGATGTAATTGATGATGTTTTTCTTTAAATGTACAAGAGGAGGGAAGGCAAAGACAGCAGCTAATTCTTCACTCATGCTTTGTGTATAGTTGTTGTCTTCTGTATGTATGTTTGTGATAGTACAGTACCAGAAGCTGTATATAATATTGGAGACCTAGCCAAGATTCCCCAACTGCCTGTATGACGGGTATGGTGAAAGGATGTAATAAGCAACAGAGACACACTTGGTAGTGCATGAAGTGAGGCTGAGAGGTCAGTGCCTCAGGATGGGCAAACACAAAGACACTGTGTGAGCCAGCCACTATGTATTTGGTGTGTACAATGATAAGAGTGGCCAGAGGAAGATTCAAGGTTGGCAAAAGACTTGAGGGCAATGGATAGTCCTGGAATAATAATTCAGAAGGGAGGAGATGATTTTATACTAAGAAGGATCTTTTCCTGGAGTGTTTATCTAGGCTGTACTTTCAGGGATCATTTCTATAGTATGTTACTAAGTTGGCTTTATCATAGGAATTTGTTATCAGGTCAACATTTTTAAAAAATGCTACTTGCCCTAATAATGAACTAAAAAGAAATCCATGTCATCATTAAAACAAATAATGTGGGGGAAAAATCTTTCCCACAAATGATACTAGAACAACTGGATATTCACATGCAAAAAAGAACTAGAATCTACACATCCTAAGATTAATTTTAATCTTAGTGGTCTTAGTTTAGTCTTAGTGGGTGGGAGCAGATGGCCCATCCCTAAGGAATTAGTGGGAAAATCTCAAGAGTGATGCTGATAATTTCAAGCCTCCATTTATCCCTTAAGGAAGTATGCAAAATTAGCCTTTGTGAATTTGTGGTCCCCAACATGTAAAGCACTTGTAAGTATAGTTTTCCTTTTTTTTTTTAAAGCTTTATTGAAGTATAATTGGTGTATAATCATATATATACATGTTTTGATGAGCTTATTGTATTTATATATCTGGGAAACTACCACCATAATGAACAGAGGAAAATGGACCACTCTTCTAACTTCCTCTTGTCCTTAGAAATGTTTGCTCTCCACCGCTTCCTTCTCATAGCCTCATCTGTAGGTAACTATTGACATGCTTTCTGTCATTTTATATTAATTTGCATTTCTTATAATTCTACAGTGCTAAAAAATTTTAGATATTTTCACTTAATTGCTAGACATTCAGCTATCTCATAACATGTTCTCATTCATTCAAACTACAAAGTTAATGGTCCATTGTGTAGATATACCATTATTTTTGAAATCCCTTACCCTGTTGGTAGTTAGTAAGGTTGTTTATAACTTTTTGGTCATTGCACATAAAACTACTGTAAACATTTATAGATAAATCTTTGAAAGTATATTGGCTTTTATTTCTTTTGGCTAAATCTTGGGATTAGAATATCTGGGTCTTCTGGTAGATGCATGGTTAATTTTTGGAACACTGACAAAGCTTTTTTTTTTTTTTTTTTTTTTTCAAATTTCAATGTACTTCTTTACTTTCTAATCAAATGTGCATAAGAGTCTACTTCTGTAAATCTTTGTCAACTGTTGTAGTCAGTCAGTTCAGCCATTCTAATGGTACAGGTTGGTACCTGATTGTACATTTGATGCCAACTTTGTACTTGGTAGTAATGTCTAACATTTTACATATATTCATTTGCCATCTATTCATGTTTTGGGGTGAATTACCTGTTCATGTAGGGTTTTTTTTTTTTTTTTTTTTTTTTTTTTTTTTTTTTTTTTCCTCGAATGCCTTCAGGGCACTTTTGGCCAGCGGGAGAGTTGTGAGGTTCGAACTCCAGCAAACTGAGGCTGACAGCTTTGTGGAAGCAGCCACTTAAAGGACTGAGCTAGGGCCAGGCCCCCTACCTGTTCATGTATTTTGCTCAATTTTTAATGAATTTTTTGGGGAATGTCTGTGGTGCTGGGAACTGAACATAGGGCCTCGTGCATTATAGGGAAATACTCTAGTTATCTACGATCTCCTGTTTTATGTCCAATTAAAAAAATTAGTTGACTTACTGCATTTTGGAAGATACTGTACTTAAATATTTTGTATGTAAGTCCATTTTGGATATGTTTTGCAAATGTTTACTTCAGTGGGTTGCTTTTCTGTTCACTTTCTTAATAGTGTTTTTAAAGAGAAGTTTTCAATTTTGGTGAAGATTAACTTGTCACATTTTATTTACTGTATGCTATATGTCAAGAAATCTTAGCGTAAGATGTCAAAACTTTCCTTTTAAATTTCTTCTAGACATTTTATAGTTTACGTTTCCAAAAGATGTATGATATATTTTAAGTCCATTTTTGAATAGGATATGTGGATTCTAGTTCTTTTTTGCATGCGAGTATCCAGTTGTGGTATCATATGTGGAAAGGATTTTTTACCTCACATTGTTTGTTTTGATAATGACATGATTTTCTTGTGTTATTTAGTTTATTTATTTAGTTATTTATTTATTTTTTAATGCATTTAGTACAGGGTCTATAGGGTCTTACTACGTAAATCAAACTTGTAGTGATTCTCCTATTTTCAGCCTCTCAAAGTGCTAGGATTACATGCCACTACACCTCATCTCAGTCACCACCTCAGCATGCCCCAGGGGTGGGGCTGGCATGTCATACCAGGATCAAACTCTGGCTGCTATGCTGTTCCTAAAGAGGTGCTTTAGTCCACTGAGCCACCTGGCTGGCCCCTTGTTTTAGTTTATTCTTAAGGCAAATAGCATTTTTAAAAAATGCTGTCCTGATATCAGATTCCTATGATAAAGCCAACTTAATAACATACTATAAAAATGATCCCTGAAAGTATAGCCTTGATAAAGCCAAGGAGCTGTTAGTCATGAGCTGTTTTATATGTCTTGTTGAATTAGATTTATTACCATTTTATTTAGACTAGTAGCATCTTTTTTTATTCATGATATTGGTTGTCATTTTTACACCATTAATTTTGGTATTAATATAATAATTACCCACAGTATGAGTTAGAAAATACCTGCTTTTTGGAAAAATGTGCATAGAATTGATGTCTTTTCTTCTTTGTTTGGTAGAATGTGCCAGCAAGGTCAGCTGGACCCAGAGTTTTCTTATAAGTCACATTAACTCCAAACTCAATTTTTCTAATAGATGCAGGGCTACTTATGTTGCCTGTTTCTTCATGAGTGTTTTTTTTTTTTTTTTTTTTTTTTATTTTTGTGTTGATTTCACTTGTTGAAGTTACCGGCATAGACTTTTTAAAATTCTCCTTAATATAGTCTACAGTTCTTTGCTCCATCAGCTGACTTTTGGAAGGGTACACTTTCTTTAAAACCTGCAT